CCGGCGCCGAGCCGCGACCCGTCGCCGCCGCCGCCGCGGTCGCCGTCGCCGCCCCGCGACGAGCACGGCGGCTGGGGCGGCGGCCTCGGGGACGTACTCGTCGCGCGCGAAAGGCGGCCGCGGCCAGAGGACACGTCGGCCTATGACCCGGTGCCCCAGCAAGGGAGGCCGCGCGCGGACGATTCGGACTGGAACGGCAGTCTGGAGGACGTGCTCGTCGCCCGGGAGCGGCGGCCGCGGCCAGAGAACGCGTCGGCCTACGACGCGGCGCCCCGGCAACGGAGGCCGGACGAATCCGATTGGAACGGCGGCCTCGGGGACGTACTCGTCGCGCGCGAAAGGCGGCCGCGGGCGGAGGACACGTCGGCCTACGACCCGGCGCCCCGGCACCGGAGGCCGGACGAATCCGATTGGAACGGCGGCCTCGGGGACGTACTCGTCGCGCGCGAAAGGCGGCCGCGGCCGGAGGACACGTCGGCCTATGACCCGGTGCCCCAGCAAGGGAGGCCGGACGAATCCGATTGGAATGGCGGTCTCGAGGACGTGCTCGTCGCCCGGGAGCGGCGGGCGCGGCCAGAGAACGCGTCGGCCTACGACGCGGCGCCCCGGCACCGGAGGCCGGACGAATCCGATTGGGGCGGCGGCCTCGGGGACGTGCTCGTCGCCCGGGAGCCGCCCGGCCGCGGCGCCGTCGACGCGTCGGCCTACGAGCGCGTCCGGCGGCCGGCCTCGGACGCGTCCTGGGCCGACGGGGGCCTCGGGTCGGCCTTCCCCGCGCGCGCGGCGCCGCGCGCGCGGTCGCCGCGGCGGGGCCGGCCGCCGGCGTCCGGGGAGCGGTACGACGCGGCCTACGCGCACGTGCTGCCGCCGCGGGACCCCGGCGACTACCTGCCGGAGTCGGCGCTCACCTACGACGCGCTCCTCGCCCTCGACCGGCCCGCGGCGCCGTCGAAGGCCGCCGTCGCGACGAAGAAGCAGCTCATCTCGAAGGCGCTGACGACGTCCGTGTACCGCAAGCCCGCCGAGCCGACGGGCGAGGAGGACAACGAGTGCTGCATCTGCCTCGACGAGTTCGAGGACGAGGAGCGCATCAAGAAACTCCGGTGCGGCCACCTCTTCCACTTGAACTGCATCAAGAAGTGGCTCCTCGCGGACATGCGCTGCCCGACGTGCCGCCAGCCCGTCGCCGACGCGGCGCCGGGGTAGTTCCGCTCTTACGAGGCCCACTCTAGGCTTCGTGGAGGGGCGACGACGTCGGGAGCGAGCTCGCGCGCGCGGACGAGTCCGTCGCGCCGAGCGCGAAGAACGGCGGCCCCGCGGCCGCGTCGCGCGGCGAGAAGGCCATGTTGATCTGCGGCGACGTGCCCGTCGCGTAGTCCGCGCGGGCCGCGGCGACGCCCTTGGGCTTCTTGCGCGCGCGGCGGTCCGGCGACGCGTTCCCCGCGCGCTCGGGCTCGTCGGCGACGTGCGCGGCGAGCGCGCGGCGGCCGAGCGTGCGCAGGAAGCCGTGCGCGACGGCCGCGGCGAGGTCGCGGCGCCCGCGCAGCGCGTCGTGGAGCCGCGACCGCGACAGCGACAGGAGCACGGCGCCGTCGACGCCCGCGCGAGCGGTGTAGGGCCACGTGTGGTCCGCCAGCAACCCCGTGTTCCCGAAGGACGCCGACGGCTCGTCGAGCACGGCGGAGCAGCGGTCGCCGATCTCGAGCTCGATGGCGCCGTCCGCGAGCACGTGGAGCGCCGCGTCCGTCTTGCCGCCGCCGCGCGCGAGCACGCGCCGCGGCGGCACGGCGCGGACGTCCGCGACGTCCGCGAGCGTCGCGAGGAAGCGCTCGGGCACGAAGCGCAGCATCTTCGCGTCGCGGAGCAATAAGACCTTCTCCAGGGGCGCTAACACCTGCGGCGGCGCCGCGGCGCTCGCCGCGGCCTCGAGCGCGCCGTTCTCCTCGAGCGCGACGGAGTCCGCGCGGTCCCGGCCGAGGTGCTTCGCGATGCGGCCGCCGCCGGCCTGGGACGCCTCGGGAAGCGACGTCACGAGCGCCCGGAGCAGCGCGAAGACGAACTTCGGCGACACGCCGTCCATGGACCGCTTCAACGCGTCGCCGTCGACGACGAGCACCGTCGCGTCCGGGTGGCCCGTCGCCGCGAGCACGGGCAGGTCCCACCCGGCGACGCCGCCGAGCGCGTGCCAGTCCTGGAAGCTCTCGCCCCGGGCCGCGATGCGCGGCGGGCCGGTCCGCCGCTCGACGAGGACGCGCCCCGCGCAGACGACGTAGGACTCGCCCTGGGCCGCGAAGGACTCGGCGCCGACGCGCCGGAGGCGGCAGTGCTCCGCGAGCACGGCGAGGTGCTGCGACACGAGCGCGTGCTCGAAGGGCCGCGCGACGTGCAACAAGCTCACGGCCGCCAGGATCCCCCGCTCCGCCGGCGCCGGCACGGCCGCCTCGTCGGACCCGAAGAGCAGGTCGACGGCGTCCGCGAGCTCGTCGCCGAGCGCGTCCCTGGCGCACCGGAGCCAGGCCGACACCGCGCCGGAGATCTGGAGCGGCGCCGCGCGCGACGCCGACGCCTTGTCGCGCGCCGCGGGGTCGAGGATCGGCGTCACGAGCGGCTTTAGCCGCGGCGGCAGGTCCGTGTCGAGCAGCTCCAGCACGGCGGACTTCGTGCGGTCGTCCTTCGTGCGCAGGCACTTCCACGCGTCGCGCGCGCGGACCTTGGCCTGGTTCCCGCTGAAGCGGCCGAGCAGCAGGCAGCGCGCGAGGAGGTGCTGCTTGATGCCGTAGGCGCGCTCGCGCACGTAGGCGTCGGCGACGTGGCGCACCTCCGCGACGAGCGCGCCCAGGTCGTCGTCGTCGTCCGCCGCGGGGCCGTAGACGAGGCGCCGCGCGCCGGCCGCGCGCGCCGCGGAGCAGCGCGCGGCGCAGGCCAGCAGGCCCTGGCCGTCGCGGAAGAAGCGCTCGACCGTCGTCGCCGTCGCCGCGTCGGAGCACTTGACGCGCACGGCCGCCTCGACGTCCGACGCCGTCGGGTACCGCGCGCCCGCGTCGAGGCCGTCGTTGACGAAGTCGAGGAGCCAGCCCTCGTCCTCGGCGTCGACGGAGAGGGCCTGTTTTGCGCTCGCGAGTAAAAAGGCCCGCTCGACGACGCCGTCGAGCGTCTTCTGCCGGCAGCCCGCGAACGCGACGGCCCGGAGCGCGTCCAAGACGCAGACGACGTCGCAGTCCTCGGAGCCCGCGCCCACGGCGGCCTCGAGCGCCCGCAGCAGGCCGGCGACGGCGGCCTCGCGCGCGCGGCTCGTTTTGGCCGCGTCCGCTAACCGTAGGAGCGCGTCGACGGCGCGGCGGCTCGTGACCTTGGACGCCGCGAGGCCCGCGAGGCGCCCGGCGAGGGCCGCCTCGTCGTAGGCCGCGGGCAGCGGGAGCGCTAATAGCGCGCGCCGCACGCCGCCGGACGAGTGCGCGCCGAGCGCGAGCCACGTCTTCTCGTCGACCGTCAACAGCGGCACCGCGCGCACGGCCTTCAGCGCGTGCGTCGCCTCCTCGCCGTCGGCCTCGGCGTCGCCGCTAGCCTCGCGCACCTCCGGCGCGCCCTCGACCAGGTCGAGCTTGAGCGCCGTGACGCGCACGGCGAGCTCGACGGCGCCGGACGCGTCGCCGCGCGCGATCGCGTCGGCCCACTCGGCCTCGGCGCGGTCCCGCGCGGTCCGCAGCCCCGCGCGCCGCGCGTCCCGCGCCGCGCTGCCCTCGGCGGCCAGCGCCCGCAGCGACCGCGCGCGCGACGGGAACGGCCGCGGGTTGCCGGCCGCGGGCCCGAGCCGCGCGCCGGGCCCCAGCAGCGCCTCGAGCGTCGCAGCGGCCGCGGACGACACGGACCCCAGGCCCACGCCCCAGCCCAGCGCCAGCAGCGCCGCCGCCGCCGCCGCGCGCGGCGCCGGCAGCGGCGCGCCCAGCAGCCGCTCGAGCAGCGGCACCGCGTCCACCAAATTCCGCGCGGCCGCCGCGCCCGCCGCGGCCGCGACGACGCCCCCCCGGTCCGCCTCGACCTCCAGGAGCGCGTCGCCCCGCGCCAATTCCTTCAGCACGAGCGCGTCGGCCCAGGGCCGCGCGTCGCCCGCGTCGTCGTCCGAGCCGGACGACGACGACCGCGCCTGCGAGTCGTCCGCGTTCGCCGACGCGACGACGTCCCGCAGCCCCGCGACCTGGACGGGCGCGTCCCAGAGGTCGAAGGACGCGAAGAGCTTGGCCACGTGGTCGTCGCGTAATAAAGCCCCCGCGCCGATCTCCCGGAGCAGGAACAGGCGCGCGCCCGTGGCGCCCGTCTCGAAGCGTTGGAAGACCGTCGCCGCGAGCTGGTCCCGGCCGTCCGGCGCCGTCGCCGCGTCCCTCAACGTCTGCGCCGCGCTCTCGACGAAGTGGCCGTCGTCGTCCAGCGGCTCCGCGGCGGCCGGCCCGTCGTCGCCCGCCGTCAGCGGCACGAAGCGGCGCTCGACGCGGTGCCGCATCGCCTCGAGGTAGAGCGTCCGCAGCGTCGACCCGACGACCTGGGCGGCACGAGAGTGATTCAACGTCGCTTCAACGTGAGTGTTCCGCGCGCGCGCGTCACGAGAAAAGCATGCACGCGTCGAGACCGTTCCGAGAGATGATCGCTCGTCCAAAAGTCAGCCGAAACGAGTGGAAAACGGCCGAGAGCGGAGCCTTTGAAGTTGGGCATGTCGCTCTCTTGTGCTGCCCTGCCGACGACGAGCAGCGCGCCGCAGCCCGCCAGCGCCAGCAGCGTCAGCTGGCCCACGCCCGCGCCCCAGGCCGTCGCCGCGCCCAGCACGAGCGCGACGAGCGCCGCGGAGACCTTCTTCGTCATCGACTCGACGTAGGGCCGCGCGGCGCGCGCCTTGGGCAGCGACACCGCGATCCACATGACGGACTTGAACGTGTTGTTGAAGGACCAGCGCGCCGTCAGGTCGAGGCACCGCGCGGCGAGCGCCGCGCGGAGCGACGCGCCGTCGCCGATGATCGCCTGCGCGGACCCCGAATCTCCCACCCGACTTCAACGTGAGAGGATATGACGGTTTCGACAGAATCTCTTTCGTTGCGCTTCGAGAGCTCGACGAGGGCCACCGATCCGTCCAAACATCAGCCGAAACGACGTCCATGCGGCCGAGCTCGAGAGTTCCGAAGTTCGGCGGGGACCAGCGGCCGATGCCCGCGCGGCCGATCGCGAGCGAGCAGACGATGAGGCCCAGCGGGTACGACGCGCTCGCGAAGCTCAGCCCGAACTGCTTCAGGCACGCGCGCGTGCCCCCCAGGTTCATGAGCGACGCGGCCGTGCCCGCCGCCGCGTACAAATAGCCCGTGAGCGCGACCATCTCCTCGGTCGTCGACCTGGGCAGGAAAAGGGCGATTCAACGTCGCTTCGACGTGAGCGTTCCGCGCGCGCGCGTTCCGGGAAAAGCATCCACGCTTCGAGACCGTTCCGAGAGATGATCGCTCGTCCAAAAGTCAGCCGAAACGAGTGGGAAACGGCCGAGATGGGAGCCGTTGAAGTTGGGAATGTCGCACCCTTTCCTCCTCGGTCGTCGACGTCTC